AGGAAACCGCACAAACCCAACTTTGAAGTAATCCTGTGCAACCAAATTTATATATGTTACACATGTAGGGGTAATCTTGTTACACAGTTTTGGAGAGTCTCAACAATCATTCCAATGTACAGTTTTCTGTGGGTTTTCTGCCTTTGTTTTCACCATGATGGTTGCCAGACAGTGAAAATACCTGGATGTCCGCCCAATAATATCCATGATTCGGCCACTGTGCTTTAATGCATAGGATGGGTACAATGTATTATTTCCAATAATACAGTGTTGTGTATTTGTGTGTGTGTACATATTTTCTTTATTTGTGTTGATGGAGTCTCGCAAATTGTGTCATGAATGATCATACGATAGCTGTGGACAATGACAAATCTATAATATAATATAGCAGTAATATCCATAATTTGCATTTATCTTTATTTGTTTACACCTAATATTAGTTCAAAGTTGTTCCTTTCAGTAGCAAATGCATTTGACAGATTGTTTACGCACTGAAAGTAGTTCCGGTTACATTCCACTCAGTAATGTGGTGATGTATTTTTCACCTGCCTTATTTTACGTCATACTGTCTGTTCAGACTAGGCATATATTATGCATTTGATGAAAGACCATTGCCATGACAACAGACAGACATAAACAAACAGCTCATTTATTAGTAACCTTTTGCAAAGCGTCTGGAGAATTTTTGTTTATAATGATTCTATTTATAATACATGATTAATGAATGTGTCATTTATATAGTCTGAAAAATGAACCACACCCAGTACTTAGCCTACTTTTCATTTTTGTACAGACTGATTGCACTCAATATATTCACCTGAATTTTAATATTACATTTATTTATTTTATCGTTCAGCATAAAAAAAAAACACAAGCAGCCATTAATATTTTTTTAATATTCATATTATTGTGGATTTATTTATGGAAGGTGATCATCAAAATTACTGATATTATTGTTTTATTAATGACACCAAATTTAAAATTGAGTAAATATGATCATGGAGCTAAAAAATCTTTTTTAGTTCCATGATACATGTATGATTAAAACAGCAAAATATTGTTATTGTTATGTATTAAACCTAGTGTATATTATTCCACTCACAGTATCTGTATAAATCCTACTACTGTAAAATCTGTATTAGAAACCGCGGCTTCTATTAAAATGGTACAATGCAATAGAGGGGATGCGGCTTCTATTAGAGCACCTAAACATATGAGAAATGATGAATTTTTCGTTCTCAATTATTCAAAAAGGATGGGTGCGACTTCTATTAGGGATGCGGCTTCTAATACAGATTTTACGGTATAAGGTCTATACTCTATGTAATGAGTATTGCTTGAAATACATCAATACAAAGGAAAGAGTTCCTTTTGTACCCCCACCTAACCCTAACTCTAACCCTATCTCTACTCACTAATGCTTCCCCATTTACTAGTCTGTGCCCATCCTAAGAACACCTATAGTTATCTAGAGATGGAATGTACAATTGAATGGGAACGGGGTTGTTGGGATGAGACTTAGAGTTAGGATGGGGGGGGGGGGTTTCAAAAGAAATTCTTTTCAATACAAAAAGCATGGTTATATTACACTTACTATGCAGAACTAGATGCAACCATGGTGAATACATGGAAAATACAAGCTTTCTTTGATTCCATAGTGTCTGGCATACATACTTATATATATAAATCCAATAATCTTCTATAAATTGTGCTTGATACATGTATTTGTGACAGTTTAGTTCTACATTAAGTATCTCACCATGTACATTAACTTGGCCAGTTTTTAAAGCGGGGGGGTTGTCACCTGCATATGCGTCTGATGCCCATAGCTTGTCATTGTTCACAAACAAGCGTCTACCCATAAGCTTTTGCGCTTTTAGCGTGTGTTGTTATCCTCACTTGGGACTCAATTCCTGTGTGTGCGTAGGTGATGATCCTCCTGCTTTAAAGACATTGTTACTATGGCAAAAAATCTTATGAAATCAATATTTAATCATTTTATTCATAAAAAACACAATAATTATTACAAAATGTGTAGAAATAAAATCATGCTACATGTCTTGAATATATAATTAGCCAAATAAATAATTAACATGTATAGTTACATCAAATTATTACCTGGAAATGTACTAAAATAGAATAATTTCTATTTGCTTTATTGTTCAACATACATGTATGACTCTACTGCCCACTGAGCATATAGGGCAGATGACACAATAGGTGTATAAGGAAGTGAATTAATTATTGTTGACTTCCTTGACTTTTTACTTACAAACGTTCACACATTCATTGACCTGTGAACAGGTGTTTTTCAACAAGTGTTGAGTTTGCGCAGTTTTCGCTGGCTCCTCAATCGGCGTTCCAGTGTAGCTCGCACTGAACCCATAGAAATACATTGCACTGTGGTGCGCATCTTAGCAATATGGAATGGTCTGTGATGTAGCTTCATTCTTTGTTATTTATAAATACTTGAAATAAAGTGGTTCACAAAGACTCATGCACTTGTTTCTTTTCATATTTTCTCAAATTTTGTTTACAGAATCAACAATTGTCTGGATATCATTGAGAAGATGAAATTAATAATCATTCTACACTTACTATGTACCAGTGCATTGTTATGTGTTTCATCTATCTCCACAGTGGACATACCATATAAAGGTACAGTCAATATACAATACAATACAGGCTTAACTTAAAGCAGGGGAGTCGTCATCTGCACATGCGTCAGATGCCATAGCGTGTCATTGTTTACAAACAAGCGTCTACCCATGAGCCTTTGCATTTTTAGTGTAAGTTGTTATTGTTGCTTGGGACTTAATTCCCACATGTGCGCAGGTGACGACCCTCTCGCTTTAACTTTCAAGCTGGCTATCAGCTGTCTAATGACTTTTAATAAAAACCCACAATTTTAAAATTAAGTATGATTTTTAATGATAATTTCAATATAATAAGTTAGAGACTTATTAAGGTAGATTACTCTGTAAAATTTAGATATATGGTGATTTTATGATTTTGAAAACAAGTCCATAATTTTCTAATTTTCTGAATCTTTATTAACAAGAAATTGCTGAATATCATCAGCATTTTGTGTCAACATTTTGCTTAAGAGAATTTTTGTGAACTTTTGTCACAGTAAAATATTTAATGATCTGGGTGGGGAAAGCTGGTGGTAATGCAGTGGTTATTCTTGTAATCATTGTGTTAATACACATGAAGATCGTACTGTTTCAATTATGCCATCAGTGATGTCATTTAGTTTGATTTCAGTTGCATTACAGTCTCTTGAGCCATTTACATTTTTAACTCCGCTGTCGACAATCGTATTACTGATTGTCCGTCGTCGCCGCCATCCGTCATCGTCAACTTTACAATTTCAACTTCTTCTTCAAAACCACAAGTCAGAATGTTTTCAAATTAAATTAAATATTTTTGTCATTTTTGGTAAAAAGTGATATTTTTGACATCTTGTTAAAAACCTCAAGTCTAATTGCTTTGATATTGCATATATAGGTACTACATGTGGACCTTTCTCAGATTTGTTCATTTTGTGATATCTTTAATTCTCTAATTTTAGTGAATATTTTTGTAATTTTTGGTAAAAGTGATATTTTCGACTTCTTGTTAAAAACCACAAGTCCAATTGCTTTGATATTGCATATATAGGTACTACATGTGGACCTTTCTCAGATTTGTTCATTTTGTGATATCTTTAATTCTCTAATTTTAGTGAATATTTTTGTAATTTTTGGTAAAAAGTGATATTTTCTATTTCTTGTTAAAAACCGCAAGTCCAATTGCTTTGATAGTGCATATATAGTTACTACATGTGGACCTCTCTCATATTTGTTCATTTTGTGATGATTTCTTAAATTCTCTAATTTTAGTGAATATTTTTGTAATTTTTGGTAAAAGTGATATTTTCGACTTCTTGTTAAAAACCACAAGTCCAATTGCTTTGATATTACATGTATAGGTACTACATGTGGACCTTTCTCAAATTTGTTCATTTTGTGATGATATCTTTAATTCTCTAATTTTAGTGAATATTTTTGTAATTTTTGGTAAAAAGTGATATTTTCTATTTCTTGTTAAAAACCGCAAGTCCAATTGCTTTGATAGTGCATATATAGTTACTACATGTGGACCTCTCTCATATTTGTTCATTTTGTGATGATTTCTTTAATTGTCTAATTTTAGTGAATATTTTTGTAATTTTTGGTAAAAAGTGATTCTTTCGACTTCTTGTTAAAAACCGCAAGTCCAATTGTTTTGATATTGCATATATAGGTACTACATGTGGACCTTTCTCAGATTTGTTCATTTTGTGATGATATCTTCAATTCTCTAATTTTAGTGAATATTTTTGGTAAAAAGTGATATTTTTGAATTCTTGTTGAAAACAACACATACATATTGTTCATTTTCTAATGATATCTTCAGTTCTTTAATTGAAATGTGCATTGCTAACAGTGGAGCTATCTCAGCCGATAGGCTGCTTGTTATTGGTTCTACTTATAACTAATATTCAGAAAGGATACTTTGTTACAAACATATTGAATAATTACTATTTAAAGACTACGATTAGCTCCTACCATTTTCAGTATATTATATTTATAGCTTTCACGACTTTTAAAATATTAGGATCCAGATCAGACAATAACTACAATTATTCTCTCTCAAACCAACTTTTTGTTTGATCAGGCTTAATTTTATTCTGTATTGATTGAGACAGTGCAAATGTTTACTTTAATAATCTCATGTACAAATGTCAGCCAATAGGAGTGTGCCTTACTATATTTATACAGTTGTTTATAACATGTGTTCTGATTGGTTGCTGAATCTGTGACTTGCATAGTCCTTGTTCATATGTATAAGTGATACATGTATATACATTGTACATTGACAACCAGACACTACTGGAGTCTGTTCCTGTATTCAATTTTTAACTATATTAGCCTGGTAACAGCAATTTAACAAGAAACTATTTTGTTCTCCCACAGATGCAGGGATAATAGAATTCAACGATATGTATAGTAATTATACTTCATTGTTGGTATATGATGGTTATTTATATATTGGATGTTTAAACGGTAGTACTCAGGAGGGATATTTGCTCAAGAAAGACGCATCTCTGGTAAGCTAATTCATTATTATCAAAGTTATGTTAAAATGATTCTTGAGTTTGATTTGTGATTTGTGTTTTGCATTTTTATAAACTTCACAAAAACATGTGTGTTTTGAATGAGCCAATCAGGTCATTGAAGTCAATGATCTGTTCCTGTTTAATTAATGCACAGTTACGATAGAGACTTTTATGTAAATCAGAATTATGCTATCTGTTTTCCTTGTATACATGTAGGTTATAAAATGACCCTTCATACATGGTTTTGAAGTCACTCGCCCTCTGCGCTCGTCATTTTATAACCGACTTCTAACATGACAACAATTTGCAACAATTTATTCAATTTTATTTTTGTTTTGCTTGATACAGTCAATCAAGATCAGCTGACAAAGCCATGTTCTAACTAACTACTCTCAGTTTATACAGAGAATATATATCGTGAATCCGGCGATCTGATTGGTGGGGGTACATAGCCATGTTGGAAATCCCCAATAAAAAATTATCATCCTCCAAGTGGCTTTTATTGGTTTCAACCACTAGCCATTAACAACCACTTGAGCAACAATAAATTATGATATGAACCATATAAATGCAAAAACAATATAATTCATCTGTTTGTAAAATGCCTTATGGTCATGATCGAATGAGCCAAATTCATAGTTTGAACTACTGAGTATGTTATTGCACATATATGCAATGCATTATGGGAGATAAACTCCCACTGTATATAATGGAAAACTAGTATCACCATGGAAACTCACTAAAATATAGGTCAACAACTTCATATCAATAATAATAATATACAACTTTTATATTCCAGGTCATTAAACAAAATTTTGAGATATGATTAAATGTTCTCACCACTATAAAAAATCAAAACTGTGATATTTTGGACTCTTGTATTTCAAAAAGTCTTTCGGTAATCCCAATTTTTTATTCTGATGGTATTAATTCATAATTATGGAAGTGTGACGAACATGAAATAATTTTCAATTTGGCTTGACATGTTTGATTGGCTTCCTTATTTTGGAAATGCAGATCATGGTTACATCACATTTGAACACTTTCCTTTGTTTACATCGGATACAGCAACAATGTACCAAGACTGAAACAGAATCACATCTCTGTACACAAATGTTAGCACTTTTTTCATTTCAAACTGGTATTTCTCATGAAATTATTACTACACACAGGAAAAGATGTACAATAATAAGGTTATCACAAGAATACCGCAAAGTATGCACTCAGGCAGTACAGGATCACATTGACCTTTGTTTATTTGGTTGTTATATACATGTACATTGTAATTAACATACTGCTTTCATTCATACTTTCATACATTCTCATAATAAATTATTTTAAAATATTTCCTGATTGTCTTAAATTAGGCATCTATGGATGTAATGCATTTGATAATGATGTTTGCTAGTTGTATAAGTCAATATTAAAAAGTGATTTCCTGTTCTCAAAATGTTGGTTTTGTTCTTTATAGAAAACTAATGGTGGTACCGATACTTTATTAGTATCTCCACCCGGTTATTATATGAAAAATATAATGCAGAATAGAAACGAGATATATGTGTGTGGTTCACATGAAACTGAAACTGGTACTGAGAGGAATCCTAAGCTGTATAAAGTCAATTCGGTAAGTTTTTTGCTCTATTTGAATTAATTCAAATTGAATTACTCAGGATTTGCCATTTTTTCTAAACATATATTGTACAAGCGACCTAATGGTCGAAATAGCTCTGCTGTCCTAAAAGAACATTGTGGTAGTCAAGTCGAGCAGCTCACATCCATAAGACTTCTTCTAAGACTACTGGTACCAGCTCAATTTGATATCAAAGCAATTGAGCTTTGTAGAAAATAGTATTTTTTACCAAAAATGACAAAACTTTTCACAAAAAATAGAGAATTGGAGATATCATCACAAAATGAACAAATCTGACATAGGTTTACCAGAGGTACCTACATACCAAGTATCAAAGCAATTAAGCTGGTAGTTTCCAAGAAAAAGAAAAATAGCATTTTTACTAAAAATGCCAAAAATAATCAACAAAAATAGAGAATTGAAGTTACCATCATGAAATGAACAAATCTGACAGAAATCCTACCAACAGAAACAAATTGTAGAACTTTCTCGCATCTTTTTAGCCTTTTCACCACCAGTTCCTTTTTTAGCTCCGCTGTCGACTTAGTCGAGCAGAGCTTATCATATGAGTGATTGTTCGTCATCGTCTGTCGTCCGTCGTCCGTGTCAATGTTTTACTTTTTCGACTTCTTCTTGAAAACTACAAGCCTGAATGCTTTGATACTTGGTGTATATGTACCTTGGGTGGACCTCTCTTAGTTTTGTTTATTTTATGATGATATCTTTAATTCTCTAATTTTGGTGAATATTTTTGTAATTTTTGGTAAAAAGTGATATTTTCGACTTCTTGTTAAAAACCGCAAGTCCAATTGCTTTGATACTACATATATACAAAAACTGTAGGTACTACATGTGGACCTCTCTCAGATTAGTTCATTTCGTGATGATATCTTCAATTCTCTAATTTTGGTGAATATTTTTGTAATTTTTGGTAAAAAGTAATATTTTCGACTTCTTGTTAAAAACCGCAAGTTCGATTGCTTTGATATTACATATATAGGTACTACATGTGGACCTCTCTCAGATTTGTTCATTTTGTGATTATACCTTCAATTCTCTAATTTTAGTGAATATTTTTGGTAAAAAGTGATATTTTTGGTAAAAAGTGATATTTTCGACTATAAGATAGTATTCTACTGTAAGCAGTTGTACTCGGTAATAGTTGTCATTGTTCAGTGAGAGTTACAAACTAAGTGCAAGTTTTGTAAAGTTGCTACTGTACATGTACAATAAGTTATATCCTAGAGTTCGCATAAGATATTTATACTATAAGTTGCTATAAAGCATATTCCCTATTCTTCAGTGCAATGAGGTTTGTAAAGTTATTACTGTACAATATTAAAGTTATATCTAATTAAGGTAGAGATGCAGTTTACCTGACAGGTATTTTAATTAGTTAATTAGGAAACCAAGATGACCATCCTTGTCAACAAAACTATATATTTTCGGAAAGCTTATTGTATGAATTTTAAAATTTTGTTAGTATTTTTTTTGTATGGACACTGTAGCTTGAAATATGCACAAAAATGTGCTTTTTTGGTCAAAAGAGATTTAAAAAAAATAGCTTCTGAACCATGCTTCTGTTTCCTGTCAAAATTGGTTTATGGGTACATCTGTTTACTATGAAGAAAGTGCTGTCTTGAAAACTGTCTACCAGTTGTCAATTTTGCAGGGCAGCAGCTCAAATTTCACTACTTCAAGTTTATGCATAAATCAACACCCAGGCTAGTTGTCTGTACGATTGTTGTAACACTGTTCAACCAAAAACAATGCCCCAACGGCGTTTTGAAGATAAACACATTGTCAATCATTTGTGAAAATTTCAAAACAAAAGGTCAAAGCGTCTAGGAGCTATTTTTTTTTAAAGTTCTGGGATGTGCACTAAAAAGAAGCTAAATAATTGCTAATTTGCATAACAATTCACTCAGTAAGAAGTTTGCTAATGCTCATAATTAAAATGGCTGTAACAGTTCCAAATTTGTATGTATTATCGTTTTGTAAAAAGTTAAATATAGTGCATAATATCCCGTCATTTCTTTTTTTACCATGTTTCTTTTTTATTATTTATGTACAGCCTTGATAAATCTTGCTAAGCATTCAAAAGAGAGAATGTTTGCACCTGTTATCTATATTTTAAAATCGTCTTTTGAGTATGTTCCACTATTCACAATTGTACAAAATTTTAACAGACTATAGTTAAAACTGTTTGGATAATAAAAAGCAAAAAAAAAAAAAAATCACTCCCAAGTGCCCACAAACCTGCATCTCTACCTGAAGTCACATAAGATAATTATAATATAAGTTGGCATATATAGCTGTTGTTATTGTTCACTAAGCAGTATTTGCTAATTTCTCGACTATTAAGTTAACTTTGCACAATTATATAAGTGTCATTTCAATATTATCATTCTTTAGAATGCCTCGACTTAAAAAAATTGATACGTTGATAATTTGCTGGACCAAATAATGCTCAAACTTGACTAACAAATGAAAGAGAAATATTTTCAAATGTAATGCAATTACTAAATCAGTTACATTTGTATCAAAATAATATTGTGAGTACTGATTGGTTAAATGTTATAAATGGACTCCCTGGTACTGGTTTACAAAACCTTGGACTTGCGTGTTATCAAAATGTTATTATACAAGTATTAATATATACTTGAGCATTCGCAAGCTACATTCTTACCAAATCAAAAACCCATCAATGCAGGAAAAATAAAACACCTTCTTGTTTGTTATGTGAATGGGAATATCATATAAGAATGTTAGACTGTTGTCTGTTTTACAACTTCCTATCACATATTCTAGTAATAATGAACAAGTTTCTTTTTCACATTGCCTTAATGATTATTTTAGTGAAGAAACAATACATGAATATTCATGTAGTCATTGCAATGAAGTATTACCACCATACCTTGTTTAATATACAGTTGAAATGTTTTTCAAATTTTGAAAATAAAATAGAGACATCTGTCAGTTATTCAATAAACATGTCTGAGTATGTAAGCAACAGTTACTATGGTAATACTTCATACAAGTTTATGGTGTAATAGTACATCAGTCTAATCCATGGTATGGCAAATTGAGCTTGATGAAATAAAAAAGAGGCATGTGAAAGCTGATGTTATTGATTGTAAGAGGGAATATACAAAACAATATTTGAAACAGAAACGTAAAGACTAATGTTATCATCAATCAGAATTAAGAAATATTTAAAACAAATAAAGAGGCAAAATATCTCACAACTGGAGAAGGAACGATATTCAAAGAGATTAAGAAGAAAAAATATACATGTAGAACAATTTGAAAAGGGGAAAAATGAGAATAAAGAGGAAAAATATGTTTGAGAAAAAGCAATTGCAAAGAGATTAAGTAGAAAAAGTGTGGAACATTTAGCCAATTCTTGGTCTTAACTGAACCAGTTGTATCAACTATTCCCTTGCGGGCAAGGTTTCAATAGTTTTACTATGTTTTGATATAGAAGAGTCATATACCGGTAATACATCTAATTTCTGTTGATACTAGACCAGCCAATTATTCACTCTCAATTACTAATTATGCTTTTGGTTCATATTACTTTTCTTATTTTTGGCATGAATAACATTTTCCCTAATTCCAACGGGGACTATGTCATTAACAATGACTTGTTTTAGCTAGTGTTGCTAATCTGTAATTTTGCAATATAAAGACGTGGCTAATTAAATTATATTTTCACAATGAGATTGTTGGCACTTTAAATTCTTCTATTGAGTCAAATTCTCTAAAATGGCATGTAGCTATTTCAACGTTTTTTACAGTACTGTATGTCATATATATATATACATATATAATAAAAGTTCATTATTTTCACTTCATTCAGGGTTTTTCTTCCTCAACCAAAATAAAAGGTCAATATAAGTGTCCTTTTCGACCTCAACATTTTGCAGCAGCTGTTTTTGATTCAGGTGGTAAATTTTATTCTGCTGCTCAGTATGAAAATCTTGGTGCTTCAGGAATTTCTCAAAGTCAGTCAGTAAACGATACTCCGAGCTTACACTCTGTTAATGATGATAAATGGATATATAAATGTAAGTACAACTTTATTAAATCTTTATCTACTTTGTGAAATATTAGCCTGCATCAATTCAGTTTGTGATGAGAAGTCCATTTTCATAATCAATCAATCAATCAATCATAATTAATCCTCACCTTACCAATATGTCTATTGAAGAGAATTGGAATGGTTAGTGATATTAATATTTACTCATGGAGTAATTAATATTTAACGTTTGTTACTTTTATTACTTACTATTAAATAAATATTATTACTAGCACTAAAAACAATAGTATCGATATTCAGAAAAGTGCGGTATCTGTTCTAAAAGGTATCTGCGATCATTCCAATGTTCAAATTTCTTCATATATGGAATAAACTATGCCATAAACATTAAACATGTTCCAGGTTTATAATAGCATTGCTTTACAGTCCTATAGGAATACAACTTTCTTAAAATGTGTCTAGTTAGAATATAAGGTTATTACGAGGATAATTATAATAGAAAAAGTCTGAGTTGTTGTTTTGTGGTGGCCATTATATAGATTATGTATACTGTTAATCTTTCCACCACCAGTTCCTGCTTTTCATCAGAAATTCACAAAATATTTTTTTTATAGTTTACATTTTCCTTCAGAAGATTGGGATAAAAATCACTAAATTTTTTGAGTAAAATCTGAAAATGTTGTCTGTTGGCTCCAAATTTGAGGTTTATTTCCAGAAATATTGAAGAATTTTGAGGAAAAAGTGTAAGAATATTTGGGCAAGAAAGTCTGGTGGTGAAAAGGTTATTGTATCAATGCTTTACATTTAACTGTTCTCTGTATCTCATTCTTTTTAGTCCCCGTTCGGACGCAGTCCGAAAACGGGGACTTATGTTTTGCCCTGTGTGCGTCCGTGCGTCCGTGCGTCCGTGCGTCCGTGATCACCTGTATCTCGAACATGCATGGACCGATTGAGTTCAAACTTCACTCATACATCACACATTATATGGGACATATGCACATGCATTTTTTTCATGATCCGATTAACGATAGCCGAATAGCGGCCATTTTAAGGCCGAAAATGCATCAAAATCGCACATTTTCACCATTCCGGACCCGGATCTCAGTTATGCATGGACGGATATTATT